TCTTCACTTTGGCACTTTATACTAGTTTATTTTTTAAATATTATTTGTTAATTGTAAATATATAATTACTGAAGTAGTTAAATCTTGATTTATAGATGGGAGGTATAGTTGTTCTAAAACGTATCATTAGGCCAACAGAAACAGTTGCAATTGGAGGACTTAATGTTGGACAATCTTCACTGTATTTAAAAAATAAATTCTGTTTGTGTACCTAATAACAAACGGAATACATAAGAAATAAAGGAAAGGAGAGAGATTGTTTGATTACAAAAATCAAACCAGAATAAAAAATAAATAAATAAAATAGATTTTTATTTTGTTACAAAAACAAAATCAAAATCTGATTTAGGAAAAATAATAAAATAGAAAAGTAAATTAATTATTTACCAAATTAATTTGTTGAACAAGTTTTTTGATCAAGTTCAGTGTTTAACATTATGTCCTTAAGACAGATTCGTCCTCTCCACGGTTCTTTCAGATTATGGACGTCTATCTCCTAAGATAAAATGATCAACTACGAATAATTGCAGCACTACAAATTATTTGCACAACGAACACACTTTTGTGTTTACACTCTTTTCTCACAAGAAAACAATGCAGCAAAATGTAGAGAGAACATGTAGAGTTGTGAATGAAAATTAAAGTGCAAAATCCAAATGAGGGACTGTCTTTATATAGGAAAATTCGTGGCTGTATGGTTTGAATTAAACAAGTGCATAACCTGTTTGAACATGTATGTTACCTGTTCGGTTTGAATGAACAGATACAAATCTGTTGGGTTTAAATTTCGAACAGATAAAAACCGTATTGAACATATTTGAATCTGTACAGAAATTCGAAAGAAGTGAAAAACAAATTTAAATTTCTCCCACCAAAATTTGAAATTTAAACTTTGGATAAATTTTATTTTACCAAAAAATAAAATTTAATTCAAATGTTTTTTTTCCAAAAAAATAAGTATTGGGCCGGACAAGCCCAACCCAACCTCACACCATGCACTCGCGCCCAGGCGTAGCCCAGCCCGCCCGACCGAACGGACGGACGGCGGCGGTGACGTGTGTTTAATTTTGGGTCCAATAGGTCTAACCCAATTTGCCCATAACCTCTCCTTTCTACAAACTTGGGATGCCCCTTGGGGCCCTTCTCAAGTTACAAACCCATGCCTTATAAACCCACAAAATTCTTTCCACCAAACCAATGTGGGACAAGCCTTTATTCAAACCTTAAGAAATTTTCACCAAAAAACTTCATTTTCATGGAGCTCACTTTGGCTTCAATTTCCCATTCACCCGATAATAGTTTTGAGCAATCAAATATACCGCGTGAATTACAACGCGGCATAGAACGCGTTACCACTTAGACTTGCCAACTTTGGCACATGGGTCCCACTTAAAAAATAGACCAAAGTTAAGGAAAAATATGATTTTTCTAAAACTTCCAAAACCATTTCTAACACTTAAAAGCGCAGACCCATCTAAAGAAATGGAAAGGGAAGAACTAGGACCTGACTATTGGGAGATATATGTTTAAGTGTCAGTTAAACTTAATGAGAGCTTGATCCGATCATATGGACTTATCAAAACAAATGGACAAGCTATTGGAGCTCATGTTACTTGGCTTGCTCCATTTGTGGTATTTTATTTCGTAAATACTAATTTCACTAATAAATTTATATTAATAGTTTCAATTACCTTTATATGTTTATTTTTTGGATACAGATTTCGCAAGTTATGGATACTAGCCGAGAATATTTATACAAGTGAGGTTAAGAATTTGGGAACTAAATTTGTTTTGATAATTTGTCTCTCCAGAAGATGGATATCACTATGGCTTTTCAAAATTTAAGGTTGGAATAATTTTCTTTTAATTTTTTTTTTGCTTTAACTTTGTTAGTGTGGTGGAATATTTTATAATTTTGATTTTGATTTGTACTGTAATATTAATAAATTTATATTTTTAGATAAAAAAATGATTGTGGTTTGAATTTTTTTTTTTTGTTTTTAATGTGATGATCCTATGGTGGTAATATTTGTTTATTATTATGAAAATATTACAAGATGAATAGATGCCAAATTAATATAGGATGTGGAAATTAATATTCAATTTTTTATAAAATTGATTCAATTTTTACAAACATTTACGCATGCTTAGTAGTGGCTTTTAAAAGTGTCAATGAAAAGAACATATAAGTGGCATTTTGTAGTAGTGGTAGTAGCTTTGCAAAGTGTCACTAGAATAAGTTCCAATGGCATTTATATCCATTTAATGGCACAAATGAATTAGATTTGGTGGCATTTATGAAGTTGTTAAAACTATCAATTGTGGCATAACAAGCGCCATTAAAAATCCATATAATGGCATTTTTTAGATTGTAAATCTTTTTTAATGGCACTTGATAGCGTCACAAATAATGTCTACCATGACATTAAAGTGTCACTGAAAGTCTTTAGCCTTGATGGTATAATGACACTTACAAGTGTCATTGAAGTGCCACTAAATCTTTTTTTAATGGAGTTTGATAGTGTCACAAATAGTGTCTATCATGACATCAAAGTGTCATTGAAAGTCTTTAGCCATGATAATGTAATGACACTTGCAAGTGTCACTGAGGTGCCACTAGTATCTACCGTAGCACGGGTATAAATGGCACTTGTTGAAAATGCCATAAGACTAAAAAATGTCATTAGAAGAATAATTTTGTGACACTTTCAAATGTCACTAAACTAAGAAAATGTCGTAGTGAAATAACCATTGGCCCTCTAATTAGTCACGTTGTGACCCTCCGTCTGTGATAGATCCACTGACACTCTGATTTCTAGTATGGAGTAAAGTGTTGTACGGAGCTAAGTGCTACACTATGGTGGGAGCCACCTCTAGAGTTCATACGAGCCACCTCTTGAGTCCATACATCTGTTCTGTTCCGTTCTGATTTCTAGTGTAGAGCAAAGTGTTGTACGGAGCTAAGTGCTACACTACGGTAGGAGCCACCTCTAGAGTTCGTATGAGCTGCCTCTTGTGTCCATACATTTGTTCTGTTCCGTTCTATACCATGGTTATGATTATTTTGTTTATATGATCTCTGTATTATATACTTTGTATTTTAATATCAAGCTTTGTTTAGCCAATAATTATCCATGGTGAATTTTATGCCCTTAAGCTCTTAGTATAAATTTCTCACTTTGCCATGCTTATAGTTGTTTACCAATTTTTAGGAAACAATACAATTCAGAAATAACTTTTGGAGAGTCTTAGACGCAGGGCTGTGGAATAGACACACACAATACTTTTATAGTATTTATAATTCTATTCTTCATATGTAAATATCGGCCTTTTTGGTTTATAAATTTTGTTATAAAAATATAAACTCCAATGATTATTTTGGTACCCACAGTTAAATATTTTTCCGCTCGTGTTTAGTAATATGTTTAAGAATTGGTTGGAGGTAACTTCAGTTACTGGCTATCACGATGCTTAACCCTTGGTTACGCGGAGCGGGTTGTGACAAGTGATATCAGAGTCTAGGTTTTTAAAATTATTTTTATCAAAGTAATGGAGCATAAGACATATGTACAAATAGGATGGGGGAAACGTTGAGCTAGATTATAGGTTGTATTTAAATTAAATAGTTGTAGCAGCAATCATGGTATAGATAATTATGGTAATTAATATGAGTCTATATTTATCAGAGTGTGCAGCGGATAGTTTACACATGACAAATTTCGAGGACGAAACTTTTAAAAGGAAGGAAGATTGTAACAACTCGAAAATTAAATTGTCCTTTAAATTTTATGTTAGTATTATTTCATAATAAATTATTTCAAAAAATAACAATTTTAACTTTATATTATTATTCAATATTATTTTCTGAGTATTATGATATTTTGTTATATTTTTCTATATATTTTTCTTAAACTAAAATACACTGAAATACATCATTTTCTGTACAACAGCTGACTTGCGCCCCAAGCTTTCTTGCTCTACACGTCATCTTCACAATATATATGTAGCCATCCACCAATCATCACGAGCATCCTTATCACTACTAGAAATTTGACTTTTTGCGTCTATTTTTTTGCGATTGATTACTTAACCGTCGCAAAAAATAATTTTTGACCTCAAAATCTCATGTTACAACCTCATTTGTTCTTATTTTACAATCTCAGTTTCCTAACCCAATCGTTCTTAACTTTAAAAAAAGAAAAAACCAAATCAGTAAAACTTGACTCTCTCTCCCTCCCTCTCAATCCGCTTTTTTTTCTTATTTCCCAAATATGAACTCTCTTTCTCTACCTCTCAAAATCTGTCTCTCGCTCGACTCTCGCTCGAATCTCATTGCCTCTCTCGCTCGAATCTCACTGCCTCTCTCGCTCAAATCTGTCGATCGATTCAACTCTCTCAAGTCCACAACTGTTGAAGATTTCATAATCGGTAAGCCTAAACATATCTTCATCAATTCCACTCTCTCTGTAATGATCCGAATTATGTACTTCTCTGTAATGGAATCTGTCTCAAGAAGAATCTGTAACAGCGCTTTGCATGGAGCTATGGCGCGCTTGTGCTGGTCCGCTCGTGACAGTGCCTCGTGAAGGCGAACGCGTGTTCTATTTTCCTCAAGGACATATTGAGCAGGTTAGTTTCCAACTCTAGGCAATCAGATTCGGAGTTCTTTGTTTCTCTCAAAGGTTAGATTCATTAGGATTTCTCATAATGCTCTATAATTTTATCAATTTTGTCTCTATTGGTTGTGCATCTCCAATTGTTCATCAATTTGTTTATCAGATTCAAATTTGATCAAAAAAATGGCTCCAAAATGTTTGATTATTGATGAAGAATTATGTTTGACGGATATGTTTGATTATCTTCAGTCATCAAAATGTATCACTCCAATTTTGCCATCATACAATGATTTTAGGAATTTCTAAATTTTTATTTTATTATTTTGTGATCTAGAACTAACTGATTATTTTGTGCGGCCTCTGCCTTATGAGGGTGAAACACCTTACCTTGCGCTTTTTTTGCATTTGAAAATGCTGTGATAGAATGTATTCTTGAATTGGTGTTTGAGTTACACCAGCCAACAGCCAGCCTCTCAGGTTTGTCTGTTTGGGCTCCAAACCAAAAGGCACCTCCACAATTGTGGTGTCCTGTGTCATCTTATAAGTCCATCATGGACATAATCCACAACTGAACTGGGATTTATTTCTCTACTGTAGAGTAAAGCACCTGTCAAATGTAGAAGATAGGAAGCGCATTAATCTCATCCACCTTAAATGGAAAAATAAGAAAAAGTGTCCATACATTCAATAGAAGGGAAGTTACATCCCTGATGCTGATACTGGAAATGATTGATTACATACCAAAGGTTTCAAATATCAGAAGAGGTAAAGTAGAAACAGCTATGGTTCTAGTTAAACATTAATTTAGCTCATTTAGTCAAGTCTTCTGTTGCAAGCTTATGTGCATACAACTTCCACAAGTCTGCTATAGACAAATTTAATGAAATTAATGCACTTGCAGAGTTAAATTTTTTTACCATTAACTAAAAACATCAAGTTTATGAAGAAGAAGAAAAAAAAATCATGTTAAATTTAATGAAATTAATATCTATTGGATGAAATTATTCTTAAGAATATTTGATTTTGACTTCATTCGGTCGAAAAATGATATATATGTGTTCATCAATGTCTACTCATGTTTTGTTGGGAATTAACATATTGTGATATGCTTCCATTTGGACCTTGTGGTGATATCCTGGCACTGTATATATTTTCCTGACTTTTTTTCCCCCCATTTCCCTAACATGGACTCTAATCATGCAGTTATTTATAATTTGCCATGTTTGATTGAGTTCTCTGACTGCCCTGTGGCTGTCAAATTCTACCCGGTCTATGAGAATACGGAGTGAATTACTCATATTTTTGTAATATGAAATATAAGCTTGGGGATGGATCTAGTTAGAAAACGTTTTTTGTACCCCTAACGAATAATTGTCAGTCTCAAGTTTGTTATTGCTCTCAACAAATTTCTTATGTGGTGAAGAACAACCACTTATTGTGCTTGTGTATATCATACAGCAATCTTTTTCAATCCAAGCCTCTATGTTTGAAAGTTTTGATAGGAAAATTTCCGCATATTGATTTCATGACTGTATCGGGGAAATATAGCATGTTTATATTGGACGAGAAAATTTAACCATGTCAACAGCAGCCCCAATGCATATAGCTATATAAGTAAGATTTGATTGATTCATGTCTCTTTGAATGTGTTATTTTTGTAGATGTTGCAACACTCTATTCATTATTGGCTCTCTGTTACCTCGAATATATTCTCTAATGAAGTTTCTGATATGATGGCAGATATAGTGTTTGCATGGATCCACTGATGGACTGGACAGTATGTTTTATGCTCATCTTTTTGCAATAACTACAGTTTCTTCTTGATGATGTTTTGCTCTTACATGTTTTCTTCCTCACAGATATGTTGCAATCATGAATGCAATATTCTCAGCTCAACGTCAATGGTATCGTGCAATGTAGACTTTTAGTATTTTTGTTCCCCATATTATACACATCAAATTTTTATTGATTTGCTTTGAATTAATATTTATGTTAGTGTTGGTACTGTACTTGGTTTTTGATTGTGCTTTATGGGGTTTCTCTTGCCAAGTTCTAAGTACAAAAACTCCTTTAGGTGAACACGAAAGCATAGAATTGTCTATAATTTTCTTTTGTTGTTATCATTGTTACCTATGAAGCACGGACACGGACACGGACACGGACACGGACACGGATACGGACACGGGACACGGCAATTTTCAAAAAAGGGGGACACGGACACGGCGGGGGACACGGCGAATTTTTTTTTTTTTTTGTAGATTTGTATTACATTCATTCTAAATCAAAATTAACAAACACTAATATAGTACCATTAATTCAATAAATATAAGAGAGGCAAAAGATTCAACATCCAACATCCAACATTAAATATAAGGGGAAAACATCCAACATCCAACAATATTTGTCACAAAAGCACTAAATAAGAGGCAAAGAAGAAGGAAAAAAAAAAGAAAAGAAAAGAAAAGAAGTGGGCCTTTCAAAACTTCAAGTAGATCCAATTTCTTGCACGTCTTCATCATCATTAGCATCATCACCACCTTTTTCTTCGTTTGCACCTCCATCATCGGTAAACAACACAACCTCCATCTCAGGTTCATCAAGTGATAGATTTGCAACCTCAAGCATCCCAACATCATCAAATGAATCAAATGTGTCGCCCGCAATATCCCATAACTTGGTCTCTCCTTCAAGGTATTGTGGGGTTCTCCTTGATAAAAGACGGAGGTTGCTATGAACAAAAACCAAGTCCTCTGCACGTTGGGGTGTCATCTTGTTTCTTTTCATTGAATGGATAAAAGAGTATATACTCCAATTCCTCTCAGCACATGATGAAGAAGAAGGTTGCACAAGTAGCCTTAAAGCCAAACATTGAAGAGTGGGTGCAGATGCACCATGAACAACCCACCAACTATGAGGATCCATATCACATCTATCTCCAATGGAATCAATGTCAGCAAATGGCCCCTCTTTTGTTGAGAACTTAGCATACTCCAAATTTGCTTTAGTGCGCTCCATTGGATCATCAAATGGCTGCCAGGCCATACAGTGGCCCAGTAGAACACATGCAAAATAGGGAGTCAGGGCTGGAGCAGCCCAAAATGATCAGGTCCCCTGTGCCACCGCATTTTGGTTCACAGGGGGTAGTGCATCCAAAGTTTCCCAGGGGAGGTTGGAGACCTATGGTTGAAACCAGAACACAAAAAAGAAGGGAGCAGAGGAAGTTCCATGCAATGATGTCCAGATTGGAGAACCAGGGCTTGAAACCACCAAGGGCACAGAACCTAACTTGGTCCAGAGAAAACCAAGGTTGTTAAAGGTTTCAGTTTTCCAGTTTTTCAAATTTTGGTCTTCCCTCTCGAGCGGGGAAAGTGACGCTCGAGCTATTTTGGGCACTTTGCTAGTTTTTGATTGACTTTGAAATTGGGAATTTTGGTCTACATCTATTATCTTGTGTTACTTGATCCTATTTTTTTTTCTCTGAATAAGTCTCTCACCATGCTGCATACATATGTGTTTGACTGTTGTTTTCTTTGTCCTAGTACACATCACCTTTACTCTGCTTCATACTTGCAATTTTTGAAATCCTTTGCGTACATTTTTGCATTCTAGATTTCTTTTATTGCCTCATGTTGCTATATCACTGTGTTACTAATGTTTCTGTTGTTTCTCTTGTCCTTGTTGGTTCTTGGTTGTCTTGGGTTGGGGTGTGTTTGTTTTGTTTAGTTTTGTCCACCTTCAAAAGACGTAAGTCTACAGCCTCTCGCCCTACATTTAACACTGACCGCTTCCCGTCGGCCAAATGTTGTGTATGAAGCAAATGCTTCATGATTATGGGATAGTACAGAACACTCTTACTCTTTTCTGTGATAACACCAGTGCCATAAACATTTCAAAAAATCTTGTCCAACACTCTCGCACCACACACATTGACATTCGTCATCATTTTATTCGAGAGTTAGTGGAAGAGGGCCTTGTTGTTCTTGAGCATATTCCCACTGAGCATCAAAAAGCTGATATTTTTACAAAACCCCTTGATCTTCTTCGGTTTGAGTTCCTTAGAAAGACCTTGGGTGTCATGCTCGATCACTAGAGTGTTACTTGTTTCTTGAGTAGGTGTAAATGTTTGTGCCTTGAATGCTTGGATGTGATAATCTCATTATCATTGATATCTGTTTACTTGCATCAAATTTTTATACAATACTCATGCTGCTTACAAGATCTTATTGTTCATTGGTCATAGCTCTTTTGAATGCCCATGCTCATTAACCTCATGATCTCATTCTGTACACATCCTTGAGATTAATTGTTGCAGGGGTTTCCGCACATGTGATCAAAGTTCTCTATGGACCACTAACAGTGTTTCTTGTACTTTTACTGTGGAATTGACCGATACTAGCATATCATGGGTGATGTTGAGTCTCTTAACCATCTACCATCTGTTTTCACTTCCACGGTTTCTCCCTCAGTTCCTTGAAGTCCGGGCATTAGGAAAAGGCTACCTCAGAGGCACCAACCAGGCCATCCTTTATGATTTCATTCTTCTCTGGTTTGGTTTCCATACTCTTGAGAGTGAAAGCCACTAGTGAGTGCACACACAAAAAAAAAAAAAAAAAAAAAAAAAAAAAGGGGGCGAACGTAAAAAAAAAAAAAAAAAAAAAAAAAAAAAAATGAAGACAGTTCAGTCGAACTGAAGCAGAGCAGAGAGAGAGAGAGAGAGAGAGAGCGAAAGAGAAAGAGACAGGCAAGAGAGGGGCTTACCTTCGAAGACGAACAGATCGAAGGTCGAAGACGCTGGATCGACTGAAACTGAGACACAGACGAGTGGATCGAAGGTCTACGATCGACTTCGGAGGGCTTCGATAGACGTCGGAGGGCTGCGACTGAGAGAGATAGCTTCGTTCGACTTCGGAGGGCTTCGACTGAGAGCTTCGGAGAGCTTCGACTTCGACTGAGAGAGAGGAGAGCTTCGACTTCGACTGAGAGGTCTGATTTTAGTATTTCTTACCTCTGTTGTTCGATTAGGGCTTTGCCCGTTAGTGTTTTTCTTTTTTTTTTTTTTTTTTTAACTTGTTAAATATTATACTTTGACCCCAAATAAATATAGAAAATTTAAAAAAGACCCCCGCCGTGTCCCTTGGCGTGTCCAGATATGGACACGCGTGTCCCCGCCGTGTCCCTTCCGTGTCCCCTTCCAAAAAAATTATTAAATTAAAGGGACACGCCATCTGGCGTGTCCCGTACGTGTCCCCGGCGTGTCCCCGTGTCCCCGGCGTGTCCGCGTGTCGGACACTGCCACGGCACCATTTTTGGAGTGTCCATGCTTCATAGATTGTTACTGTCTGCTTCTGTTCCCACATTATTCCATTGGGCTCATGAAATGCACTTCTATTTATCATTAATGTGTGAAAATAAAGATCTCTGTTCTTTAATTCAGTAACACAGCTTTTAGTGTAACCAGGCCTTAGTTTTGTATTTTCTAAATTTATGTTATGAACCTTCTGTTTATTGGTGATTTGATTTGGGAATTTTGACTTAATAGGAATAGGTGTTATTTTGTCACGTAACAAAACATGACAAAACACTTGCTAGGGTGTTTTGTCAAGGGCTTGATTAACATTGTTATCCGTACTAAAGTAGCGATCTTCAAACTCCTCCATGCCTGGGATCACATGTGAATCCTTGTTCAGTGACATGTCAATCTCCCATGTCACAATTTTTAGCTTTGGGAATTTCTTACAAACAGCATGTCTTCCTTCAGGAGCCTGCGTCGTAATTTCAAAATTTTCAAAAATGAAATATAAACTATTAATAATTCTGTAGAACTTAAAATTGTCTGGAGAGAAAACAATTAAACATCAAAATCACTCACTGCTATGAGATTAAGGAAGATTATGTTGGATTCTGCTACACCCTTGCTCAGCAGCAAAGAAGTAGCTTTGATTGCAGAATTTCCTAATAATGAAGAATTTTTAGACACTGGATATGTATTATGAAAACATATTTGGAAGAATTACAGTATGTTTGGAATTTATTTTACTTGAAGCCAAAACTGGGTCGAGCAATAACACATTGCGGCTTGAAATGTCAACTGGTAGCTTCTCATAGATTAACTGCAGCAATGTCACAGGTATAAAATCTTACTGAAGCAGTTGAGAGAGAGAGAGAGAGAGATCTTAAAAGCATCTTTGTAGAATTTGCATATGCATCTTGGAGAAGATAGAGCTAGCACTCGTGAATGAATACATGGTTTGGTTACTACTGCAGAATTATGTTAAATTGACGAATTTTACGAATTTGCATATGCATCTGGGAGTACGAGCTTGAGAGAGGTACAATACTTACAAATTGACGAATTTTACGTTTTATCAATTTGTATATATACATATGGAAATTATTAACACATTATACTAACATATTGTAGGTGTCAAATGCATCTAGTGGGCAACAGGCTTCAAAAGAAAATGAATAGGTATGCCACTCTGCTCTTCAAAAGGAAATTATTGACACATTATACTAACCTATTTCTCTGCTTTTAATGAATGTTTGTTTATATATGGAGTGGGGTCCTTAGAGCTTGCTGGTAATCTTCCCTTAGTTTAATGCAAATACCCTAAGCCCTTTGCTGCTGTTAATCAATTCTTTTTCCCAGAAGAATAAATAAAATTAAAAAAAAAACTATCCACCAAGTATTTATGAATTTAGTCAAATTGATGGGCTGTTCCATATGTATTTGGATCTTGAAAGCTTAGTTTAATTAAATGGTAGAAATTTATGATAAACAGGCTTTGCTATTGATAGTTGAATTGTTGTTGAATATTTACTTCAAAGTTGCAAGCCTTTGAAAAATACCAGTGGATGATGGTTTTGAATTCTCTCTAACACACACACATGGTTGAAATTGTCACCATTCACTTCAGATGAAGTGAGTTAGAAAGAAGCATGTTAGTGTTGGTCATTATAGTTATGTTGGATGATGTGGGCTTTCATATAATTATTGTAAGCAAAGGCTCCCACATGCTGAAAATTAGAACTAACACGTCAGTCATTAGTGCCAATAATGAACTGCCATCAAAGGCTTAAGATTGAAGTCCAGCACAATGGCAACTACAAATATAGAGAAATCAAAGATCTCGGCTTAAATAAATTACAGTTTCTTTCTATTATGAGCTCAAAAGTGATTTCATCGGAATTAGTGGAATGTTGGACCTATGGGCTTCTTTTTTTCTGAATTAAGAAATATACATAAATCATAACCTTCCTATGGCAGATTGTTAGTTGCATTGATGGTGCTTATTATTTCCGACACATGGGCAACTCTTTTGATAAAAGGTTTCCAAAATTCTTCATTGCTAATTCTTGAATTACATAGTGAAGTCAGGAACTTGATGTGAACTTCTAAATAGTGAAGTCAAATTTCTTCTTGTTGTTTTGGTATTAATCTATGTTAGGACAAAGATTATGTTAATCATGTTCATTTTTCAAATTCTTTGGTTTATTCATTAATCTGATTGGATTGGATGACCATTTTCTTGTCTATTTATTTGTGCAAATTACGAATTGGCATCTATATTTTTGTAATTTATTCCAAGCAAAAGAATTTAGAGAATGAACCTTTTTTTTTTTTCTCTTGACAATTTCTTTCCAAATAGTTTTATTTTTATTATTTCAAGTTAAACTGCATTAAATTTTCAAGTCACGTGTATATGTTTTTGCAGGTTTTGTTGAGGGAGTAGTTGATAAATCGAGCGGCTGATGTTTAGGAGCCAAACTGAGATTATGTTGCTCTTTTTATTTATTTATTTATTTTTTTTGAGGACTCGAATCTTTTAGTACAATATATTTTAATGATGGTTGATGGATATTTGTTTTTGCATGTATGAAAGTTTATATTTTGTTTGCACACTTATATGTGAATGTATTTCTATTATGAGTTTAAATTAATTTGTTAATTTTGTTATTTTTTATTAAAAAAAATTGTTAGGTGCTTGCAATTGATTTTTTTGTTATAGCAAATGTATATATGATTTTATTATAAAAATAATTATTTGCGACGGTAAAAAAGAAGTCGCTAAAAGTGTTTTTGAATTTTTTTTTTTGTTGTTGCGACGGCAAAATAGCTGTTGTAAAAAGTAGGTTAGGCAGTCGCAAATAGTTTGCGACTGTTATTTTGCGGTCACAAAAAGTATTTGCTACCCCACATTAGCGTCCCCTTTTTTTTTTTTTTTTTGCGACGGCAAAATAGTTGTTGCAAAAAGTAGGTTAGGCAACTGTTATTTTGCGGTCGCAAAAAGTATTTGTCACCCCCACATTCGCGACCCACATTTGTCGTCGCATGGGCCGTCGCAAAAAGTCTTTTGCGACTGTTTTTTTATTATTTGCGACAGCTTGTAGCGGTCGCAAAAAATACTTTTTTTAGTAGTGTATCTTTTTCTCTCCCTCTAATTGTTTTACTTTATATATAAAACTTTGAGTTTGGTTTGGAGTATTTAGTGGGTCGCAATAAACGAAAGGTAAAAGTTTGAATTAACATTAAGGTGAGTTATATTATACCTTGAGTCACCACCATATATTTTATGTATGTTTTGAGTTATCATAATTTATTTTACGCAATTTGTGTTTTATAAATTATATTAGCATTTTTAATTTATGAATCTTATTTTCTATAATAAGGAAAACCCATGGATATAATTGTTTATTAAAATATGTTTTGAGTAATTATATTATAAGTACCACACGTAGGTCTCATGCCTTAGGGGACATAAATAACCATTGGTCCTTTGATTAGTCATTTTGTGACCTTCTGTCTGTTATGGATTCACTAACACTCTAATTTCTAGTGTGGAGCAAAGTGCTGTACGGAGCTAAGTGCTACACTATTGTGAGAGCCACCGCTAGAGTTCGTATGAGCCATCTCTAGAGTTCGTATGAGCCACCTCTTGTGTCCATGCATCTGTTTTGTTCTATACCATAGTTATGATTTCTGGTGTGGAGCAAAGTGCTGTGTGGAGCTAAGTGCTACACTATGGTGGGAGTCACCTCTAGAGTTCGTATGAGCCACCTCTTGAGTCCATACATCTTTTCTGTTTCGTTCTATACCGTGGTTATGATTATTTTGTTGATATGATTTCTGTATTATATGTCAAATAGTTTTCGTATTATATATTCTATATTTTAATTTCAAGTTTTGTTTAGCCAATAACTATCTATGATGAATTTTAGGGGTGAGCATGGTCCGGATTGGACCGGATTGGGGTAAAATTAGGACCAATCCGTTATCTACGGTTCCTGAAAAATTGGAACCAATCCAATCCGTTTAAATCATGGAACCAATCCGAACCAATCCATTTAAATACGGATTGGATCGGTTTAGGACCACGGATTCACATAATTGAATAACAAATATATATATATATATATAACACTTTAATTTCATAAAAATATAAACATAGCACTATATCAGTTCCATAATAGCAACATGTTTTTCTATAATAGTGACATACTGTTCTTGAATTTAAACAATCATAAGAAAATACAAACAAAAGTAATAAAATAAGATATTATACGGTTTTAGGTTTGAGTTTAGATTTTATATAGAATAAGAGAAGATACTATGGGGGAGGATGTATAATAAAAATATAGACTATTTGTATACGGTCCGGATCGGTTCCAATCCGGAACCGTGGGGTTCAATCCGGAACCAATCCGCGGACTACGGATTTTTAATTCTTCAATCCGGAACCGAACCGCGGATTCAAAAAACCAATCCAAACCTATCAAATTGGACTGGAGTGGATCGGATTACGGATTTCACGGATTCCTTGCTTAGCCCTAATGAATTTTATGCCCTTAAGCTCTTTGTATAATATTTCTCACTCTGTCATGTGCTTATAATTGTTTACCGCTTTCAGGTGACATGTTAGGCCAGCGCGTGGGGTAGGCAAGAAGCACTTTGTAGACGTAGTTCAGCTTTGACAATTTAATTAAATAGAAGCTCCAATGATTATTTTAGTACTCTCACTTAAATTTTTTTTTTCCGCTCGTATTTAGTAATTTGTTTAAGAATTGGCCAGAGGTAACTCTAGTTATTGGCCATCACGATGCTTAACCCTTGGGTACGGGGAGCGGGTCGTGACAACAATAAAAAAATTTAAGTTGTTCCTTAAATTTTATATTAATATTATTTAATTATAAATGATTTCAAAAACAATAATTTTAACTTTATATTATTATTCCAAATTATTTTCTGAGTATTATGATATTTTTGTTATATTTTTCTTAAATCAAAATACACTGAAATATAACATTTTTTATGCGACAAAACACGTGCCCGCCAAGTTATCGTGTTGCCCAAGCATCTTGCTGCCCATGCTTGTTCACTCTATATATATAGATGTGCCAATCAGAGAGTCTCATCACCAATTCCCTCCAAACTCTCTTAGCCCCGTTTGTTTTGGGAGATAGAATGGAGGGGATTGATAGTGAGGGGATTAATAGTGAGGGGATTATTAGTGAGGGAATTGATAGTGAGGAATTGTTAAA